ATGTTTTGCTACTTCATTAAAGTTGTAACGTTTCTGTAGTCCAGGAACCATTACTATCTGGAAGATTCAGGATAGAAAAATCTCTTTTGTACTTTGCAATACACTTTCAATGACATCTCATTTAATCCAACTCTTCGAAGTCCTAATGTCTACTGTCACCTCCTTAGTATATTTTCAGCAACAACAATCATAGCACCCTGTAATTGCAGAATACCTCTGGGGAAACTCCGGAATGAAACTTAGAGCTTTTGCCTTTTTTCCAGAAATCTTTTGTCCAAGTCCTCCAGTTATTCCTAATGGGAGACACACAGGAAAACCTCTGGAAATCTTTCCCTTTGGAAAAGCTGTAACTTACATATGTGACGCCCACCCAGACAGAGGGATGACCTTCGACCTCATTGGGGAGAGCACCATCCGCTGCACAAGTGACCCTCAAGGGAATGGAGTTTGGAGCAGCCCTGCTCCTCGCTGTGGAATTCTGGGTTAGTGCTCATTTCCCCACATCCCAAATGGGTTCAGAATACCTAACGCAGGCCCTCCATATTTCCATAATTACAGTATGGTTTCTCTGTGCACATTTGCCACAATGGAATGCCCAACCAATGATAAATGGTTCTAAGGTAGGTCAATACATCAGATCGTGATGGCCTTTGCATCTGGAGGGACTGATGCAAAAACAAGGACGGGGTGAGTGGTGGGAAAGTCCTTCATTAGAATCATATGAATTAAAAACAAATGCTTGTGTATCTCCTCATTGAAATGTTTGGCTTGGAAATATGACCTAGAAAATCGGTGGCTCCTGCTGCCAGGAAATGTCTTGAGTTCCTGCCCATGCTTGTCAGCCTCTCATTGGAGTTTTGATGCCTTGAAGTACAAGGAAACCAGACACGAAAGGTGGAAGCTGGGCAGAAACACTCTTTCTGGAGTTCTAAAAATGTGAAAAATTAAATCAGAGCTATATTTACATTAAATTAGATGAGCATTAGCTGAGCGTGGTGGCAATTGCCTGTGTTCCCAGCTATTCGGGAGGCTGAGATGGGAGGATCACTTAAGCCTGGGAGGCAGAGGTTGCCGTGAGCTGAGACTGTGCCACTGCACTCCAGCCTGGGTGACAGAGTGAGATCCTATCTCAAAAACAATGAAAATAGGCTGGCCGCAGTGGCTCACACCTGTAATCCCAGTACAGATCACTTGAGGTCAAGAGTTCCAGATCAGAATGCCAACATGGTGAAACTCCAATTATACTAAAAATAAAAAAAAATAAAATTAAATTAACTAAATTATATGAGTAGAAAGACCCAATAACAGACTAGTCTTCCAGGTAATAGACTTCCTTATAAGCCTATGCTAATGGAACTTTCCCTTCCATTTTACAGGCAAGTTGTGTGTGTGTGTGTGTGTGTGTGTGTGTGTGTGTGTTGTTGTTGTTTTTTGTTTTTTGTTTTTTGTTTTTTGTTTTATAACTAAGAGTTTTTTTTCTTCTGGCATCAATCTACCCCAGAAGAGAAAAGAGGAAGCACATTGGGTATATTTTTATTAACTCAGATATTCTTGATTTCTTGGTCTCTAGGTCACTGTAAAGCCCCAGATAATTTTCCGTTTGCTAAGTTGAAAACCCAAACCAATGCATCTGACTTTCCCATTGGGACATCTTTAAAGTACGAATGCCGTCCTGAGTACTACGGGAGGCCGTTCTCTATCACATGTCTAGATAACCTGGTGTGGTCGAGTCCCAAAGATGTCTGTAAACGTGAGTGAACTTGCATTGGATGTTTCCCATGTCTGCAAAAGATTCTTATTGAATGTTTTCAAATGTGGGATATGAGAAACCTTTTTTGAAAAGTGTTCAGATAGGTGGATGTAAGTTTTTCTTGTAGGACATCCTTGATTATTGCTTGAAATGCTCACTTTATGAGAATGTTTCAAGGAATATTTGTAGAGAAAATCTTCATTCCCTATAGGAAAGAAAATAATACATGACTCTAGATCAGGGGAATAAATGGTGTAGGAAGACAAATTCTGTTTGAATAACTAGGTGGGAAGAAATCCTTTGCAAACTTTGAAATATATTAGCAGTAAATAATGCCATAAGTGACTTTTACATTCTGATAAGGGATGCAAGGTCTCTACACAGATCTAAATCTAGATCTAGATAGATCTGGAGGGAAGGTCTTTTTGAAAGTGGGGCTTAGTAGGTGGCTGATCCTGAGGTGCTCTGATGAGTTTTATCAAGGTGGCAAAATCTGTGGAACCATCAGAACTACGTATTTTCTTCAGCAAGCTACATGTTGATGGAGACCTTACTTACTGAAGAGAGTCCTGATTACTCTACCTGGCTCCAAAACACTTTCTTTCCCATAGGTAAATCATGTAAAACTCCTCCAGATCCAGTGAATGGCATGGTGCACGTGATCACAGACATCCAGGTTGGATCCAGAATCAACTATTCTTGTACTACAGGGTGAGTTGGCAGCAACATCTCTTGGTTTAAGAGTCCAGCACAGCAATACTACCTTCTAGCCACATCTCAGGAAGGAAACTAGGCTACTGCCACCTGCTCTTAAGAGGCTTGAACACAGATGTTAACTCCTGATTGAAATGAACAATGATAGGAGAAGATTAGGGCAAAAATCTGTATCCTTGCTGGAAACCAGGGCAGTGCACATATGAAGAGTATGCCGTTCACCGGATGGGAAGGAAAAATAATTAGGAGTGTAGTAGTCAAAGCCCACAAACAACCCTAACCCAGAGTAGACATTGCTGGAAGAAAGGGAAGGGCATGTAGTGGCTGTGTGAGAGAACAAATCTTAACGATAACAGCATGATCCCTTGCTAGGGCTGGCATCAAAAAGTACAGGGCTTCCTCATTTTATTGTACTTTGCAGATGTTATGCTTTTTATAAATTGAAGGCTTGTGGCAACACTGCGACAAGCATGTCAGTTGTATCATTTATCCAACAGTGTGTGTTCACTTCGTGTCTCTGTGTAACATTTTGGTTATTCTCACAATATCCCAGATGTTTTCATTATTATCATGTCTATGATAGTGATCTGTCATCAGTGATCTTTCATGTGACTATTGTCATTGTTTGGGGTCCCTACGAACTGCACCCATATAAGACAGAAAACTTGATCAATAAATGTGCATGCTTTGACTGCTCCATGGACTAGACATTCCCCTTCTCTCTCCCTCTCTTCAGGACTCCCTAATCCCTGAGACACAATAATACTACAATTAGGCCACTTAATAGCCCTACACTGGCCTTTAAGTGTTGACATGAAGGGAGGAGTCATGCATCTCTTACTTGCAATCAAAAGCTAGGGATGATTAAGCTTACTGAGGATAATATGTTGAAAACCAAGATAGGCCAAAAGCCATTCATCGTGTGCCAAACAGCTAGAGAGTTGTAAAGGCAAAGCAAAAGTACTTGAAGGAAATATAAAGTACTGTTCCAGTGAACACATGAATAATAAAACGTGAAACAGCCTTATTGCTGATAGGGAAGAAGTTTTAGTGGTCTACATACAAGATCAAACTAGACACATTTTCTGAAGCCAAAGCCTAATCCTGAGCAAGGCCCTAACTCTCTTCAATTCTATGAAGGCTGCCAGAGGTGAGGAAGCTGCAGAAAAGAAGCTGGAAGCTAGCAGAGGTTGATTCCTGAGGTTTAAGGAAAGAAGCCCTCTCCATAACATTAAGGTCGAAGGTAAAGCAGCAAGTGCTCATGTAGAAGCTGCAGCAAGTTATCTAGAAGATCTAGCTAAGATCATGGATGAAGGTGTTACACTAAATAACAGATTTTCCATGTAGACAAAACAGTCATCTGTTGGACTTTCATAGCTAGAGAGGAGAAGTTAATGCCTGGCTTCAGAGCTTCAAAGAACAGGCTGACTTTTTAGGAGCTAATGCCGTTGGTGACTTTGAGTTGAAGCCAAAGCTTACTGACCATTCTAAAAATTCTAGGGCCCATAAGTATTATGCTAACTGTACCTTCCCTGTGTCTATAAATGCAACAACAAAGCCTGATAACATAGGTATGTTTGCAACATGGTTTGCTGAATATTTTAAGTCCACTGTTGAGATCTAGTGCTCAGAAAAACAGATTCCTTTCAAAATATTACTGCTCATTGACATTACACCTAGACAGCCAACAGCTCTAATGGAGATGGACACGGAGATGAATGGAGTTTTCCTGCCTGATGACCACAGCGGCCATTCTGCAGACTATGGCTGAAGGAGTAATTTTGACTTTCAAGTTTCATTATTTAAGAAATACATTTTGTAAGGCCAGTTCCCACAGACAGTAATTCCTCTGATGGATCTGAGCAAAGTAAGTTGACAACTGCTGGAAAGAATTCATCATTCTACATATCATTAAGAACATTCATGATTCATGGGAAGAGGTTTAAATATCAACATTAACAGGAGTTTGGTAGAAGTTAATTCCAACTTTCACGGCTGACTTTGAGAGGTTCAACACTTCAGCAGAGGAAATAACTGCAGATGTGGTGGAAATAGCAAGAGAACTACAGTCAGAAATGGAACCTGAAGATGTGACTGAATTGCTACAAATTCATGATCAAAGTTGAACAGATGAGGAGTTCCTTCTTATGAATGAGCAGAGAAAGTGTTTTGTTTTTTTGTTTTTTTTTTTTTTTGTTTTTTTTGAGGTGGAGTCTCTTCCTGGTGAAGATGACATGAGCATTGTGAAAATGACGACAAAGGATTTAGAATATTACATAAACTCAGTTGATAAAGCAGCAGCAGTATCTGGGAGGACTGACTCCAATTTTGAAAGCAGTTCGGAGGGTAAAATGTTATCAAATAGCATTGCATGCTAGAAAAATCTTTTGTGAAAGGAAGAGTCAATCAATACAGCAACTTTATTGTTGTCTCAGCTTAAGAAATAGCCACAGCCACCCCAGCCTTCAGCAACCACCACCCTGAGCAGTCAGCAGCCATCAATCTTGAGGCAAGACCCTCCACCAGCAAAAAGATTACGACTGATTGAAGGTCAGATAATCTTTAGCATTTTTTATCAATAAACCATTTTTTTAAGTATGACTTTTCTCAGACATAATTCTATTTCACACTTAATAGACTACCGTATAGTACAAACACAACTTTTAGACTCACTGAGAAATCAAAAAATTAATATGACTCATCTGTTGTGATATTTGTTTTATTGTGGTGTTCTGGAACTGAACCAGCAATATCCTTGAGGAATGTCTGTAACACAAAATGGGCGGCTTAATACAACAGAAGTTTTTGGAGTTCTGTTCTAGAGGATGGAAGTCCAAAATCAAGGTGCTGGCAGGGCCATGCTCCCTCTGAATCCTGTAGGGTAGAATCCTTCATTGCGTCTTCCAACTTCTGGAGCCCCAGGCGTTCCTTGGTGTGTGGCAGCGGAACTCCAATTTCTTCTGTCCCTGTCCTCACATGGCCATCTTCCCTCTGGGTCTGTGTCCTCATATGCTGTTCTCCTCTCTGTGCATGTTTCTGTCCAAAGTTTTCCCTTTTTATCAGGACACCAGGCATATTGGATTAGGGCCTACCTTAGTGACCTCATCTTAACTTGATTGCATCTGCAAAGATTGTATTTCCAAATAAGATCACATCCACAGGGACTGGGGGTTAAGACTTCAACATATCCGGGGGAGACACAATTCAACCTGAAACAGAGCCCCTTTGAAAATGTCAAGCGTCAGGTGCTCACAGCGCACGGCCCAGCTGTTGGTGCTCAGCCTTGCTCAGCACACAGTGGAGGCTCTGTCCCAAGCTCACTCTTCATGGGAACAGCTAAGCCAGGTAGTGAGTAGGGGATATGTTTGTGCCACTGCAACCAGTACTGAAAGGAAGCTTGTGGTGTCCAGCATATTTGCCAGCCTAGGCCTCACAGACCATAGCACCTAGAATCTGACAAAGTAAAATTAGAATAAATCCAACGTCTCATTTTCTCTTTTTTATTTTTTTATTTTTTTGGAGCATTTTTAAATACAATTGATAAATTTCCTGACTGTACCCTCCTCATCTTGCATTGCTGAATAAGGGGGGAACCTCTCTAAGGCATACAGCAGAAAACCATTGAGCTTATGACTAGAAACAGGAAATACATGTAAAAGAGACCAGTCTGAAAAATCAGGAGAAATTTTACAAAGAGATTTACTGCCAAGAAACCAGGGAAACTTTCTGAACACTCTCCTTTTCATATTTGTAATAAGATTCAACTGTGCAAATACTTCTGTGAAACTAGCCATAAAGTTTGTACATGAAGGAATATATATATTCAGTGTGTTTATATATTTCATTTCATACATGTGATATATATATACATATATATACATACATATATATATATCACAATGAATATTGCAGAAAATTAAAGCAAAGAGTAAGAGGAGTTAACCAAATTTTCCCTGAATGCAGTGGGGAAAGCTGAAAAGGAGAAGACAGGCAGGCACAGTGGCTCACACCTGTAATCCCAACACATTGAGAGGCTGAGACAAGAGGATCACTTGAGCCCAGGAGTTCGAGACCAGCCTGGGCAACATGGCAAAACCCCATCTCTACAAAAAAGTATAAAAATTAGCTGGACGTGGTGGTGTGTGCCTGTAGTCACAGCTAGGCAGGAGACTGAAGTGGGAGGATCACCTGAGCCCAGGAGGCTGAGGCTTCAGTGAGCCGTGATGGCACCCCTGCACTCCAGCCTGGATGAGAGAATGAGATCCTGTCTCTGAAAATGAAAAAGGAAAGACATATGTAACACAGTGTCAGGATTCAAAATACATGTAACAAAAATTCCAGAAGGGTAAACAAATAAGCCCATACCTAGCCACCACTAGGGAAACTTCTGTGTTTCAGGGATAAAGAAAAAAACTCAGATCCCAGAAATAAAACATGAAAATATAGTACCCGCAAAAGAAATAAATGTATTGACACCACAATGATTCTGTACAACACGAAATGGTATAAGGTAGCATTTCTATTGCACCAAGCTAATATTCACACCTAGAGGCTCAGGTACACATGAAAGGATAAGCAAAGACACAACAATTGTACCATTTAAGTATGTTTCTCAGGCAATTTGTAAGCAAATTTTCCAAAAGGAGAATGATGAATTCCAAAAGAAATCTCAACAACAACAACAAAAAAAATACACACAAAAACTTGGCAATGTAATCATAACTTATTAATAATCTCTCTAAACTCATAGAACATATCAATAAAACTAGAAAATGTGAGACAGTAAAAGGTAGGCTAGACTTACATTACACTAAACATGAGTAGACTGACTATATAGAGTTTGACTCTAAAATTGAGAAAATAGGTTTAAATATGTGTCGTGTGCATATGTATAATATACGTGCACACATACAAAATGAAATTCCTCATTGGAAAACCTATTAAGCTTATTTCTAAATTATTAGAATGACTAAAAACAGCTGAATCTATCTGTTCCATATAGTAAGTGAGAGGGAAGGAAAAGGAATAGCAAGGAATGCGTTTGTCTCTTCCACCAGAAATAAGCCCCCTCATGTTGGGTCAGGTCATTTTATTCATTGCTTTCTCCTCATCAATGTCTTTGGGCATCGTGAAATCAATGAAAAAGGCAGTGAAAGAATGATGATGAAAGCAAATCAAAGGCATCATTTATCTCAATACATGTGGTTTAATCTTCTTGTTGAAAGACAAAGTCTCCTAGATAAGATCAAGAGCAACAAATCATGTATTTACAAAAAACATGTCTCAAGTAAGATGACATCGTATAATGCACACACACACACACACACAAAATAAGGAAAAATGCAAACAAAAAATGGCAATAATAATATTTAGAGAAAATAGAATTTATGAAAAAAAAAGTCAAACAGATCTACAAAATAATTGTTTTATTTTGGTGCCGGGTATAGTCCACAATGAAGCCAAGATATGAAGAAGCAAATGGGCCAGGAGAAGTTAGAGTAGAAATATTTCTTTCAATAGTGAGAGCATAGGAAAAAGAAGAAAAGCTGGGAACAACAGGTAAAGTTTAGGCTAGGCCTTAGACTTCTCCTACATTGTAATCCTTTTGGTTTGCCACATATGCATGCTGTGAGGACGTTGATGAGGCATGTACAGCACAATTATTTTCCACTGTTTGCCTTTAGGCACCGACTCATTGGTCACTCATCTGCTGAATGTGTCACCTCAGGCAATACAGCCCATTGGAGCACGAAGCCGCCAATTTGTCAACGTGAGTTGAAGTCTCTTTCCCCATTCACCCCACTGTTTAATCCTAGAGTTGTCCTCCTAGAATTACAAAGAATGAATCTCATCCCTCTTGGAAATGGTATCCTTCTGATATTTGAAGAATCCAGTCATATCCTTAGAATGGCTCACAGCATTCCAAACTTCCACCTTCACCTAGAAATGCTTTCTTTCTTAAGATATAATTTATTTTAAACTAGTCTTGAGCTCATTTAAACAGCCCCCGATTTCCTCCTCTGTTGGTTGCACACCTCGCAGTTTGAAGAGCATTTTCTTCAGTGAAGTCAACAAATACAAAGTCAGTGAAATAAACCCTATATCCTCTCTGCAAGCTCTTAGTATCACATCTGATATTCAAGCCATGCAGCTCTTTCTTCCTTATTCTTTGTCTAAACAGGATCACGCCGTCTTCCCTGTGAGTTGTTTGGAAGATGAGCTTTCTACATTTTGGGGAGCAAAGGGAATGAGCAATTGCAAGCTAAAAAGGAATATAAAATGTACATAATCCTGGGTTTTGGGATGATGTGAGGAAATCAGCAATTTCAAACCCAGTTGGTGGGAGGATAAGTAGGAACCAACTTTGTAGAAGGTCAACATACTGGCTGGGCACTGCCCCACGGTAGAGTAGGACACAGTATTCAGTTCTTCCACGATCAGACGAGATTGGGTGCATTCAGGGTGGTATGGCTGTAGATCAGTATCCAGTTCTTTTTATTATTTCTGAATCTGTAAGTATAATGTTTATTATATGTAATGTTGTATATTTGTGCTTTGTCTTTATTAGTTCTGCCAGAGTTTTTGGTCTTACTATTTAATAAAGATGCTATACTGAGCCATGTGTGGTGACTCAAACTTGTAATCCCAGCACTTTGGGAGGACTAGGTGAGCAGATGGCTTGAGTACAGGAGTTTGAGACCAGCCTGTATAACATGGTGAAATCCTGTCTCTCCAAAAAAATACAAAAACCAAACAGGCATGGTGGCACACGCCTATAGTCCCAGCTACTCGGGAGACTGAGAGGTGGGAGGATTGCTTGAGCCAGAGAGGTTGAGGCTGCAGTGAGCCATGATCAGGCCACTGCACTCCAGCCTGGGCAGCAGAGCAACACCCTGTCTCAAAAAAAATGCTATGCTATATGCTTTATTATATTAATATCCAATACCACAAAGGCAAGTGCCTTCTATAGAGAGAGAACTAAATTAATAATGGTGAGATAACATACTTAAATTCTCATTTAGCAGGAGAAATAAAAACATAGACTATAGGCTAGGCACAGTGGCTTATGCCTGTAATCCCAGTACATTGGGAGGCTGAGGTTTGCAGATCACTTGAGGTCAGGAGTTCGAGACCAGCCTGGCCAATATGGTGAAACTCCATCTCTACTAAAAATCCAAAAGTTAGCCATGTGTGGTGCTGCATGCCTCTAATCCCAGCTACTCAGGAGGCTGAGGCAGGAAAATCGCTTAAACCTGGGAGGCGGGGTTTGCAGTGAGCCAAGATCATGCCACTGCACTCCAGGCTGGGGAACAGAGTGAAACTCTGTCCAAAAAAGAAAAAAAAAACAAAAAAAACCAGAAGTGGACTCTAATAATATATGGACACATTTAGTGAAATAAAGTTAACTGAGTAGAGCAGAACTTATAATATTTTACAACTGTAAGAACATGTCTGTACATTAGCAAATATTAGATGAGAATAATATTGTCAGTATTTACTTCTGGTAATTTGGAATTTAAAAAACTGTCAGCAAAATTTACAATAAAGTATAATTTTAAGAAACCAGGCTGGGCGCGGTGGCTCACGCTTATAATCCCAGCACTTTGAAAGACCGAGGCAGGCAGATTGCTCGAGGCCAGGAGTTCAAGACTAACCTGCCCAACATGGCCAAACCCCATCTCTACTAAAAACATAAAAATAAACCAGACACAGTGGTGCATGCCTGTGATCCCAGCTGCTCAGGAGGTTGAGGTGGGAGGATTGCTGGACCTTGGAAGTGGAGGCTGCAGTGAGCTGTGATCATGCCACTGCACTCTAGCCTGGGTGACAGCAAGACTCTGTCCCAAGGTTTTGTTTTGGTTAACTTGCTGCTTCTTTTCCCAGGAATTCCTTGTGGGCTACCCCCAGCCATCGCCAATGGAGATTTCATTAGCACTAACAGAGAGTATTTTCACTACGGATCCGTGGTAACCTACCGCTGCAATCTTGGAAGCGGAAGGAAAAAACTGTTTGAGCTCGTGGGTGAGCCCTCCATATACTGCACCAGCAAAGATGACCAAGTGGGCATCTGGAGCGGCCCGGCCCCTCAGTGCATTATACCTAACAAATGTACGCCTCCAAATGTGGAAAATGGAATATTGGTATCTGTCAACAGAAGCTTATTTTCCTTAAATGAAGTTGTGGAGTTTAGGTGTCAGCCTGGCTTTGTCATGAAAGGACCCCGCCGTGTGCAATGCCAGGCCCTGAACAAATGGGAGCCAGAGTTACCAAGCTGCTCCAGGGGTGAGTCTGACTGAGGCCTAGAAGGGCCCTGCAAATGACATGCATTGCTGTTGGATCAGGTGATCGGTATTTGTTCAGGGGGAGGGATGTGTACTGAGCAGGGTCAGGGAGCAAATTTTCTAGATAGTGAAGGTGAAATTCAGAAGGTGTGTGTACATATACATGTGCTGAAATTGAGAAGCAAAGCTCGACCTGGGCAAGGAATATGATGTTTCTTTGGGGTTCTTATAAACAGATCTGTCAATTACTTTTGAGTATAATTGTTGATACAAAATGAGTGATTCCTCTGGCCAGGCACTATGATACAGGCTACATGTGAATTGTAATCCTTAAAACAAAGTTATTCGGTAGTTACCAGTTGTTCTATGTTTGTCTGTTTTGTTTTGCCTGAGATACTGTCTTGATCTGTCACTCAGGTTGGGCTGCAGTGGTGTGATCATGGCTTACTTCAACCTCTGCCTCCCTGGGTCAAGCAATTCTCCTGCCTGAGCCTCCCACATAGCTAGGACTATCGGTGCATGCCACCATGCCTGGTTAAGATTTTTATGTTTTTTTGTACAGATAGAGTCTCAACATGTTGCCCAGGCTGGTCTCAAACTCCTCAGCTCAAGCAATCCACCCATCTTGACCTCCCAAAGTGCTGGGATTATAGGCATGAGCCACCACGCTGGGCCTCGATGTTTTACAGAGAATATGTGCCTTAGAGAGATCAGATAACTTTCTAAGATACTAACTTGCAGACAAAACTGGAATGCAAGCCTGCCTCACTCCAAGTCTTGGCTTTGCTAATCAGCATCCAGTCATGCAACCAAAACTTACTCTAGATACTTTCCAGGAGGGAGGGATTCCATGCAGGTTGTATTTGTCTGTTCTCACATTGCTATAAAGAACTACTTGAGACTGGGTAATTTATAAAGAAAAGAGGTTTAATTGACTCAGAGTTCTGTAGGCTGTACGGGAGGCATGGCTAGGGACGCCTCAGGAAAGTTACAATCATGGTGGAAGGCAAAGAGGAAGCACGCATATCTTCATATGGTTGGCAGGAGAGAGAGAGAGAGCAAGGTAGAGGTGCTACACACTTCTAAATAAGCAGATCTCGAGAGAACTCTATCACAGGACAGCACTAGGGTGATGGTGCTAAACCATTAGAAACCACCTCCACGATCCAGTCACCTCCCGCCAGGCTCCTCCTCCAACACTGGGGATTACAATTTGACATGAGATTTGGGTGGGGACACAGAGCCAAACCATATCACAGCTAATTGGTCACAAAGATGTTAGAAGGGCAGGAAAAGCAATAAGACGAAGGCAGAGTTACCAGAGATCAGGGAGCTACGGTGGCTGCCAGTCTAGAGCACAGGAGCCTGTACTGATGCTGAAATGGCCAGCCCCTCCCACTGAGCAGCCAGCTCCCTGAAAGCTGCTAATGCTGCAGGAGCCACCACTGCTGCCAGAATGCAGCTGGTATTGCTGGAGCCAAAGTCACTGGCATGGCTAGAATTGAAGCTGTAACTGCTCACTGAAGCCATCTGTACTGCCACTGCCACCTCTAGAAGTAGAACAGATTCTGCTATCATCCTCCCTTTTAATTTGGTATATATGCCTCCAACTGGCAGAACCTAACCAGAGCCCAGTTATCAAGGAAGATGAACGATTGTAGTTTTTTGTTTTGTTTTGTTTTGTTTTTTGGTATTTCATTGTAATTTATTTATTTATTTATTTATTTATT